GTGAGACGGCCCCGAAGTCCAACGGCACAGCAGCAACTTACTCCACTTTCTCTCCTCCTCACCGTGACCATCCATCACCGCGAGACGGCACCGCGCCGGACCACCGTTCTTAGCCGTTGGGTTCCGTCGAGTCCCGTCGGAGTGTCGAGTGTAGCCGTTGAGACCCGTCGTGTTCCGTCGGAGGGCCGAATAAAGCCGGTGAGTCCCGGCGTATTTCTCTCCCCCTCGCGCCGCCGCGACAAGACCTTCACGGCGCGGAGAGCACCTCCAGCACGGCGTGAAAGCACCTCCGCGGCGCGACGCTTCTCTCCTTCACGGCGCGAGTCCCTGCTGCAACATAATCACGCCGCGGCACCCTGCAAGTTCTTTTTCCCGTCAATTCCAGAACTGCCACCTCCCGCGGCCGCGACTTCTTCTTCTCCGCGGCCGCGGCGAACAAAAGCCTCCCCCAATTCTCCGACTTCAAGGAACAAAATCCGCGGCCTTGGGACGATTCGCGGCCGCGGAGCCGATCTTCACCGCGGCCCGCAAGCTCTTCCGCGGCCGCGAAGTTCACGCTGGACAGATTTTAAATTTCAGATTCTGAGATCGTGAGGGGGCGGTTCTTATTTTGGGTGGAGAGCCTAGGTTTGAGAATTTTTTCTTTTCGTACCTTAGTTTTGGGGGAAAGAAAACTTGTTCTTTTCATCTTCTTTAATAATTTCGTACGTAGAATACGGATCGGATTTCGGATTTCGCTATTTCTCTCGGATTAATCTTGTTTCCCGGATTATCATCCAATTTCCATTAATCGTAAGTTTTTTTATTATATCTAATCTATGGATTTATTCGTTTCGATTATGGATTATTGTGTTGATCATCGATTATGAGTAGCTAAATTAATTGCTAGGGAATAGGGGATCAATGCTTTGAATTCGTGTGTGATTGTCGGGCCCTAGATTGTTCAATTTTATGCGATTCATGCTTAATTAGGGTTTTCGATTCATGCTTGAATGGTGAGAATTATCGAAGAAG